CCCCTGGCCCTGCCCTGTACTCACAGATGGCCCCCAGCACCCCCGACAGGCGACACAGCCAGCGGTACCACCACGTCATGCCCTCCTCCTGCGCAGGCGGCGTGGAGTTGACGGACGTCGCTGAGGCCCCGTCAGAGCCGCTCATGGTGCCGCTATCCGGCGCAGCCCACCGCCCTCACAAAGGGCTCTAGAGCTGGCCGCGTTGGCCAGCGCGCTGCCTTGTGGGAAGGCGGCCTTATTAGCATAGGGGGTGGGGTTTGCAGGTCCAAGGCGAGTAGCGCCCGGCGTACTGGTGCTTATTTGCATAGGGGGCGGAGTTCCGGGGCGATGCAGAGGTTGGCCCGAGGGGCTCGCGCTCATTAGCATAGGGGCTGGTTTTGGCGGCGCAGGACTCCCAGGTGGACAAACCCGCCCAATGGGCTAGCCGAGGGGCGGGGCTTGGCGGAAAACGGACAGGTGAGCCGGCGTCAGCGCCCAGTGGTGACCGCGCGCCCTGGAGCACCGTCAGGAGTGGCGAGAGGTTCGACCAGGTCAGGGACGTGTCTGGAACTCGACCGTGGCCCCGCCTGCTGTGCGGCGGGCTTGCAAGCGGATCTGAACAGGTTTTGTGAAGAAAACGCCAGTCAGACCGCACGTCCTTTTAATTGGTGCCTGAACGGCTGGGGCTGCCATGCCAGAGTGTGTCCCCTTCTGCCCCCTAACGTTGTGCACGTTGGAGAAGGCGCTGACGGCGACACTGAAGAGGGGAGGGAGTTCAGATCGGGAAGCACTCCGGGGCCGGCCAAGCAGTCAGCAGCTCATACAGGTCAGCTCCCCTCCTCTCCCCCCGGAACTGGAGGGAGCACCCTCACTGGACCCGTCGTGCTGGGAGAGGCAGCTAGGGCGGGGCAGTGCGGGGCGCGGGAGCTCTGGACTGCAGTGTCCAGTACTGGCCCCGCAGGCGGGCATGTGTGTCCAGGAAGCCCTGGCTAAACTCCATCTCCGCCTGGCTGCCCTCCGACTCCCAGTAGAGCGCTTGCTGCCCGCGGAATGTGGTCGTTTTTAGACTGTGGATGTCCCGGATCTGGGAGGAGAGGGGCAGCCCCGAAGGGCAGGTCACAAATGAAAACAGCCGGCACTCGTGGAGCCCTAACTGCCCCAGGATCTACGCTCAGGGTCACATTCAGTCCTCACCCAACAGCCATCTGAGGAAGGCACTGTTAGCCCACCCGGGAAGCAGGCTCAGAGAGCTCATGCCCCTTCCCCGGCTCACAGCCAGGGCCCCTGAGCTGGCCACTCCCCCGGGGCTCACAGCCCGGGCGCCCGAGCTGGGACCTGGGCCAGGTCTGCTCTATTCCACGTCAGGCTGCCTCATCCAGAGGAGCTGACACCGGGCAGAGGACAATTCTCCCAACACACACACCCCATGGGGGAGGTGGTGCCCCTCTCCTGGCAAAGTTGTCTCCGGCTCTAACATTATGCTTCAGGCCCGGGTTAAAGGGCTGTCCACACGGGACAGGTCTATTCTATTCTCTCTTGTGGGGACACAATCAGCATTTGCTGGTGAGTACGTGGAAGAAGCTCTTTTCTCCCATTCCTGCACTAATTTTTGAAGGTTTTCGTCTGAAGTAGACTCGGGGGGTCCTCTACCCCAGCACCCCGGTCCTCATCCCCAGGGACAGCTGTCCAGACCACAGCAAGAGTCAGCCATTCCTGTCGCCCTCATGGTGGCCTCACCGAGATGTAGCTGGCATCAGCTCCCTCGGTGCCCATGTCAGTGGCCAGGGCATGGATGGCGATACGGGCCCCCGGAGCCACGTCGATGAAGATGCGGCAGCCCCCCACGCTCCTCCCATCCGAACTCACCAGTGGGCTGGCAATCTCACCCCGGGGGCCAAAGAGCTGCGTGTCACATTCTGCAGGGGAGAGCGGGGGATGGCGGGATGTGGCCCAGGATGCAGGAGCCCCCGAAAGACCCTACTGCCAGGGGCCGGGGCCAGGGGCAGAGCCGCTCGCAGCTGGCGAGCAGCAAGGGGGACAGTGTGGCGCTGTGGCCAAGGCCAGGACCCAGGCAGAAGCCCCCAGGGAACCCCACCTCCACCACCTCCCGCAGTGTGATCCTAGGCCAGTGGTCCGCAAACTGCGGCTCCCGAGCCACATGCGGCTCTTTGGCCCCTTGAGTGTGGCTCTTCCACAAAATACCACGTGCGGGGGCGCATGTACAGTGCGATTGAAACTTCGTGGCCCATGCACAGAAGTCGGTATTTTGTGGAAGAGCCACACTCAAGGGGCCAAAGAGCCGCATGTGGCTCGCGAGCCGCAGTTTGCCGACCACTGTCCTAGGCCAAGGCGTTACACGCTTGAGCTCCAGCTCCCCCCTCTTTGAGGTGGAGGGATGAGAGCAAACACTGGGCAGAGGGTTTTAGGACTCAGCAAAGTCACACGTGCCAACGTGCTGAACATCGAGCCTGGCACAAGGACGGACGCCACCTGCCTGCCCCCTGGGCCTCCCCTGGGCCTCCTGGGCCTCCCCTGGGCAGGCCCCTGCATGTGGGAGGCTTGGAAGTGCGGAGCGGGGAGAGGGAAGGGAGACAGTCGACCGTGGGCCACTGAGCATGGAGGGGCAGGGGAGCCTCAGGTCTCCAGGAAGGAAGAAGCCTCTAGCGTCCCTCTTCTCACCTGAGGCGGGAGGT